TCTCAATATGAATTTCTCTAATATGAATCTCTAATATGAATTTCTAATTTTAGCATATCGTGAACAAAGAATGCGGCCCGTATGACATCTGCATTTCCAGTGTACTGGGGCTTTCTGTAGGGCGGAAAATATGACCCGCTTTTGAAAATGATTTTGCGGATCCTGGAAAGTAGGCTGAGTAACTCACAGCCCAAGCCACAGTCACTGTGTCCCCAGGAGCTGGAGGACAGGACAAAAAGTGAACAGGAAGGAAGCCTCAAAGAGGAAGTGATTTTGAGAGAGGGACAAAGAACTGGCTTCTGTCAGCACCCACTCTAGGCCGGGCAGCACCCTGGGCACTCGGGCTGTGTTATCTCACTCGGAGGTCAGAGCGGCTTCTTCACCGCAGGAAACCGAGGCTCCGAGAGGTTAGGGAAGTTCCTACACTCTGTCCCCTGCTCAAGCTCTTGGCTTTGCTGAGCGGGTTCCCACTTTTCTCTCAAGGCCCATTTAAAAATATATACATTTTTATTGATTTCAGAGAGGAAGGGAGAGGGAGAGAGAGAGAAACATCAATGATGAGAGAGAATCATGGATCAGCTGCCATCTGCACACGCCACACTGGGGATCGAGCCCGCAACCCAGGCATGTGCCTTGACCAGGAATCAAACCGTGACCTCCTGGTTCATAAGTCGACGCTCAACCACTGAGCCACGCCAGCCGGGCTCAAGACCCATTTTTTTATTTTTATTATTTTGATTTTTGTTAATCCTCACCCGAGGATATTTTTTCCATTGACTTTTAGGGAGAGTGGAAGAGAGAGAGAGGGCAAGACAGAGAGAAATACCGATGGGATTGCCTCCTGCAGGCGCCCAGACTAGGGCCAGGGCCGGGGAGGAGCCTGCAACCGAGGCACATGCCCTTGATCGGAATCGAACCCGGGACCCTTCGGTCCACAGGCGATGCTCTATTCACTGGGCCAAACCAGCCAGGGCCTACATGCATTATCTCATTTGATCTCCTCAACAACACAGGTGGCCCTGAGCCCATGCTCTAGACCAGCGGTTCTCAACCTGTGGGTCGCAACCCTATGGGGGTCGAACGACCCTTTCACAGGGGTCGCCTAAGACCATCGGAAAACACATATATAATTACCTATTGTTTTTGTGATTAATCATTATGCTTTAATTTTTTTAAAAATATATTTTTATTGATTTCAGAGAGGAAGGAAAAGGGAGAGAGAGATAGAAACATCCATGATGAGAGAGAATCATGGATTGGCTGCCTCCCGCACGTCCCCCACTGGGGATCCAGCCCACAACCAGGGCATGTGCCCTTGACTGGAATCGAACCCGGGACCCCTCAGTTCGCAGGCCGACACTCTACCCACTGAGCCAAACCAGCTAGGGCAACTATGCTTTAGTTATGCTCAATGTGTAACAATGAAAATACATCCTGCATATCAGATATTTACATTATGATTCATAACAGTAGCAAAATGACAGTGATGAAGTAGCAACGAAAATAATTTTATGCAGATGGCAGCCGATCCATGATTCTCTCACCACAACATGAGTAACTGTATGAAAGGGTCGCGGCATTAGGAAGGTTGAGAACCACTGCTCTAGACCAGGGGTGGGCAAACTTTTTGACTCGAGGGCCACAATGGGTTCTTAAACTGGACCGGAGGGCCGGAACAAAAGCATGGATGGAGTGTTTGTGTGAACTAATATAAATTCAAAGTAAACATCATTACATAAAAGGGTACGGTCTTTTTTTTTTTTTTTTTTAGTTTTATTTATTTCAAACGGGCTGGATCCGGCCCGTGTGCCGTAGTTTGCCTACAGCTGCTCTAGTGAGTGAAGGGCTCAGAGACTGAGTGTGGCCAAGGTCGCTCAGCTGGTGAGTGGACACAGCCAAGAGCTCCTTAGACTCCAGTCATTGCCACATTCAAACTGGAACCCGGGTCCCCCCTGTGGTTAAAGCAGATGCACGCAGACACACACCTACCTCACTCCTCTGGCCTTGCTCACCATCATGGCTGCGCAAGGGTGTCCTTTCCCCCCAGACAGCGCGCTTCATGAATGCCTTAAAGGAAATTCATGAGAGTGATCCCTAAGGTGACAGGCTGATTCATTCATCTGTTCTTAACGAACAATACACATTTACTGAGCCCCTCCCCGCCCCCCGCCCCCCCATAGTAGGCTGGCCCTGGACACAGCAGCCCAGGTGCAGGCTAGGAGACCTTCAGGGCGGCCCTCCCCACAGTCCACCCACGGCACCCAGGCCTGCCTCCTCCTCCCCTCCCCTCCCCGTTCTCACCCCACAACCCTTTATCTCCCTTCACAAAAAGCCCCATTCTCTTTTTGCACAATACACTTTCACAATAGAGTCTATTCACCCCAGAGCCGAAGAAATCGTCAGCAACCAGAACACTGGTTCCTCTTTCCTCCTAGGTCTTCAAGCATCTCCAGGGCAGGAGAAGTAACTGCTCTCTGCCACATGACTTCCGGTTTGCTGGGCTGTTTGGGACTGTAAGCGCCCTGAAGGCCTGACTTGGATCTTTTTTTTTTTTTTTTTTCAGTGTGATAGTTTCTTTTTTGCTTTGTATTGATTTCAGACGGGAAGGAAGAGGGAGAGAGAAATAGAAACATCAATGATGAGAAAGAATCATTGATTGGCTGCTTCCTGCACGCCCCACGCTGGGGATCGATACTGCAACCCAGGCATGTGCCCTTGACCGGAATGGAACCGGGGACCGTTGAGTCCCCAAGCCGACGCTCTATCCACTGAGCAAAACTGGCTAGGGCTAGTAGGTAATTTTTAAGCAATAACATATAGTTAGAGAACAGGACCTAGGCCTCTCATTCCCTCCACAGTACAAAAGATCCAGGTCAGCCTTAGCTGGTTTGGCTCAGTGGATAGAGTGTCGGCCTGCGGACTGAAGGGTCCCAGGTTTGATTCCAGTCAAGGGCACGTGCCCGGGTTGAGGGATTGATCCCCAGTGTG